CTTTTGGGCGGTGAGTCCCGGCGAGCTGGGGGAGCTCGGCTCGGGGAGCGCGGGAGCCCCGCGGGGTAAAGTGAGCACCGGGGAGGTGGGCTTGGGCGGCTGGAGCGGGAGAGACACCCGGACGTAGGTCAGGGGCTCGCTGGGGAGGGGCGAAGTCCCGGCAACTGGGAGGTGGCGAAGCCTCCCGGCACTCGCCCAGGGCCCCTGTCGCCCCCGCGCCCGCGAGGACGCGTTTCCAGCCTCCCTAGAGTTTTCCCGGCCTGAGCCGAGAGTTTGCTCGGGAGTTGTCGGCTCCCGGGCCCCGGTGGGGAGTTTCTTTGAGGGAAAGAAACGACTGCCCTCCACTTAGGGGGTGCAACTCGGTAGTTGGCGGTGGGGGAGACCGAGTCCCCGCGACAGACTCAGCCTAGGTGAGGGAGGCTGGCCTGGGGCCGGATGAGGGATCGACCTGCGGCGCGCAGGGCGCGGAGCTTTTGTTACCTATGCCGGCCCGGCGCTCCCGGCTTCCCTCCTCCAAGTTCCTGGGCTAGGCTGGGACCCCGACGGCCCTGATGGTGAGGGCGGAAGAAAGGAAGAATGAGGGGCCGCCCCATCTCCTCCAGCTCCTGGGCCCGATCCCTGAACCCTCTCCCTGCCAGGGTCGGATCTGGGGAGCTGAGAATCCCAGGCTGTCGCGGTGACTAATGTGTGAAGGCCGCTGCCAAAATCGGGCATGGCCGGCCTGCAAAGGTGCGGACGGGATTGGTTCTGCTCCTTCCTGGATTTCCATCCTCTCTCTTCCCCACACGGGAAGAAAATCTCTCTTTTCTATGGGCAGAAAGGCAAAAAAGAGTTCATTCTGTCTTCTTGGAGGGCCTCAGCATTTTGAGGAGGGTGCGGCCTCTATCTCCGGGGCCGACTGGACGAGACCCCTCTATCCCACACACCTTTATTTCCTGGCCAGGTCACACCTGAGAGTCACCACTGAGATGTTGAAGTGCTTTAGAGGAAAGCGCCAAGCTACCCGCACACCCCAACCAGTCTGGAGTGGAAGTTTGACCCCTGCCCCACCCCACTTCCAAAACACGAAATCTTTGATGAGGATCCTGGCAGCAGCCCTTGCTGGGGGAACCCTGCCCAGGAGACCTGGTCCTGGCTTATTACTTTCCTCTTCCTTTGAAGAGTGGCCATGGGGAGGGTGAGGGGTAGAGAATTGCTTTTTCTGACATCTTCCTGGCCTGCCAGGTGTCAAGGGGGTTTGGTATTGATGAAATCATCTTCTCCTCTACCCCTAGTTGTAAAAGGAGAGGTAATTGTCACCTGGGGCCCAGGTAAGAACAAGTTCTCGAGATTTGTAGGTTTTTCTGGAGCCGTTCTGTGTTCCTTCTGATGTGTGGGATGGTTAAGCTCATGGCAGAACCCACATCTGCTCCCAGAGGAAGTATGAAAGTTTTTTGCATGGCCAGGATTGGGGGCCCAGCCATATGGGCTGGCAGCCCGAGTGCACAGCTTTCCTAGGTCGGTGGACTGTTCGAGTTTTGGTGTGTGGGTCACCCGATATGGCTGCCTTCACTGCTGATGTTTAGAGTTCTGGAGTCCAGGGAAGATTCTGGTGGAGACGGGGCTCTTGTTCAACAAATGCCAAATTCCTAAATTCCTTCCGTGAGAAGACGACTCTGATGTTAATCAATGTTAATACGGTGACGGGTGTTTAGCAGGGGCTGAGGGAGGGTTCCTGGGGTTCAGGGGCGGGGGGTCGGGGGGGGGGAAGTTAGGGCAGGCTGAGGGCTTGGGACTGGAAGTCTGGAATCTCCTCTGGGGGTG